CCATACATGTGTACTTTCTATTTGGATGCTTCTTCCTTCTTCCACAGGTTTGGTACAGTTGAAGACCAAGCCAAGGCATTGCGACTGTACACAGTGCAGATCCCTTACAAACGTGAACGACGTCCGCTTCCCTGCTACATCACCAAGTGGGATGGACATAGTTTCTTGCCCCTGCTTACTCGTCCCTGTGGCAATGAGGTCATCTCATGCCTCTCTGTAAGGTGAGATGATTTTCCTGTGTTCCACCTTCACAGAAGAGAGAGGAACCCTGGTTCTGTTTGCATAACACCCTTAACCTAAGGATGACTAAACAATGGTTTTCTGCAAATGTTCGGCTTTTACACTATATTTAACTACAGTATATAGACTATATTCACTGTATATTTGCACAACATCCTAAGCTACATGTTGTAAAATGGTGGTGTTAGTTGCGTGCCTGAATAGGAGCTGAAGCTCCTTAATAGCAAATTATAGCCTCTCAGATCCATTTCTCCTCTAATATCCAGTGGGATTAATAGGAAAGGACTTTACAGACATCTTGAAGAGTTAGTTTTGGTATTTCAAGGCTGGAGCCTGTTTGGCCTTCAGATGAAATGCTAGTCCTCTAAAATGGGTCCCCAACCCCCCGGTCCGTGGACCAGTACCAGGCTGCGCCATGCCAGCAACCGGTCCGCACAAACAAGCAAAGCCCCATCTGTGAGATGCAGGTAGCACACAAAACCATGCACCCTCTGGTCCGCGGAAAAGCCTCTCTCCACGGAATCGGTCCCTGGTGCCCAAAAGGTTGGGGACCTCTGCTCTAAAACACATGTATCTGTGTATTGGTCTACATGAATGTCATGGGGAATGCACATGGCTCTCTTTCTATGCTTTCAGTGAGACAGGCACATTCCTGGGTTTGGGCACTGTCACAGGCTCGGTTGCCATCTTCGTCGCCTTTTCTTTGCAGGTATGAGTTTACCCCTCCAAGATTGTGTATACATATGCTCAGCTAGCTGGGCCAGCTCCAGCACACACAAAGCCTGGTCAAGGCACAAGCCATTGTTGGAGTGAGGGGTGAGGATGTTGATACTTATGTTTCAAACTCATGGTTGGCATAGGGCTGGTATGTGTACCATGCAAGACCTTGCAGCAGGCTCTATAAGTAAGGCCAAGGGAAAGGGGAGGATTATCTTGACTCCTGAGAGGGTTAAATCCAAAATGGGGTTGAATGCTGCCTGAATCATTGGCATGTTGCCTCCAATTCTGTGTTCCTTTCTACTTCCCCAGAGGGTGTACTACGTGCGAGAAGCACATGGCATAGTGGTCACTGCTGTGTCCTTCCTGCCTGAGACTCCGGAACTGCTCAAGAGCAATGAGGCAGCCCTGCTAAGTGTGGCAGTCGACAGCCGCTGCCGCCTGCACCAGATTGCCTGCCGGCGTACGTTCAAAGCTGGGACGGTGGATTTAAATGTGGGATGGGATTCCTGTCTTGCCAATATGGGGTCTCCTACAAACTCTTGGTGATTCAATGCTCTTTCTTTTCACAGGGAGTTTCCCCATCTGGCTCCTGCTGCTCTTCTGTGCTGGGCTGATTGTGGGCACAGTCCTGTTACTACAGCTGGCCTTCCCAGGGTTCCTCTAACCTTTCTTCGTGGCAAGGTTCCTGGAAAGCTTGAACCTTCTCTGCCCTTCCTGTAAGGGACGCATCTTCTTCTTTCTAACCTCAGAGACTGAGAGAGGACTCTGAAGCCAGGGCAACGATTGCCCTAGTGAAGTGTGTGGTCAGGTGAACTTGCCCAAGCTGGAGGCTGGGCCTCACATTGATCAGGTTTTGGCCTTGAGCAATTCTTGTCTAACGCCATCACACTGAATAGGGATGGAGGAACTATACTCCTTCATTTTTGACTGATCTGTGAGAAACATTCCAGCTTTATTTGCTCTGAGCAGAGATTTCCTGTTTAAGCTCAGGGCTTAAACCTTGAATTATTAAACACAATGATGGAGCAGAGCCTTTCCTTCCTGCCTGCCTGCCTTGTTGATTACTTCTCCGTTTCCTTTCGGCTTGGGCAGAGCCAGAGGTCATAACTGTAGAGGGGTTCTCTGGGGCCAGAAATGAAGGAGGTTGCAGCTGCTCCACGAAGACTGACCAAGACACTCATTTGGAATAGCTCTGCAGCAATTTTTCTGCCATGGCTATGTAAGAGAAGGGGACAGAGAGGATAAGGAATTTGGGGATTCCCTTTCCTCTTGAGAACATCTATAGCTTGACTGCAGGAATTACTCTAATAGCCTAAATGTATACACAAGAGAAAGCAAGGATGCTTACAGTATGCTTGTGTTAATGCAAATGCACATCCCGTTTGCAGCTTATGTCAGCAAACCATAACTGTTCTCATGAAAAAAAAAAGATTTTCAGCAATTAACAGTCTCTTCACATCTGGCTTCAAGCATTCTCCAGTATGGATTTCTCCATGAAGTGAAAATTTCTTTCCTCTCTTTTATTAGGTTGATTACTTATTTTGTGACTTGGGAAGTATGTGAACAATATCATACTTGTTCAATTATTTTAAATTCCCAGAGTTTTATTAGGTCACCACTTTTTCATAGAAGTAAAAAATCATGACTGCTGATGTGGTATGCTGGCATTTGCCAATCAAAAAAATGAAAGTGATCACAATCTGAAAAGAATGCTCGGATAGGTGGTTCTGCATCCTGCATCAGTGCTTGTTTTTATCAGGGAAGCAAGAGAGGGAATAAATCTTCCTTGAGAGTCCAGGTACAATGTCTCAGTTGAGTGAGCTAGTAACTGAGAAGTAATTGTAGAGAAGGCGTTGGGTCTAGTAGTGTATTTTGTTGGAGTAGCCTTTGTGGGTCAGCCATAGGTGATCTGTTGCTACATGACCTTCATATAATTTTTGGACATCTTCTTAACATGCTTAACTAAATAAGGGGTCCCCGTCCCCTGGTCTGTGGACCAGTACCTGGCTGCAGCATGCGAAACCACACCCCCTCCAGTCCACGGAAAAACCTCTCTCCACGGAACCGGTCCCTGGTGCCCAAAAGGTTAGGGCCCGCTGTGATGGCTGCATTACGATACCATGTGAAATATTTTAGATTTTTTTTGTTGTGCTCAACTTATTTGGCTAGATAATGGTTTAGTGTAGTGCAAAATCAGAAGGTTGCTTAATTCAGTCATTGGGACAAGCATTTTATACAACTACAACAGTGGATTCAAGAATGGGCTTTTGACCTCTATATGCTTGGTGATGTTTAGTTAGTTAATTCTTCCATAACAAATACATTTCTGCATCATGCTTTATGGTGGGGAAAGTAGGACTATTGAGGGAATCTGGACTTGGCAAGATCACAGAGTCTTTCAGACCATTTGAAAAGTTCCACTGCTCAGTGCCCTAGTTTAAACATTACACTATACACCTTCTTTGTTTTTCTCTTAGTTTGAAACCAGGCATTCGTAGCTTGGTAAACTACAGTTCAGCAATTAAATCTACATTTGCCCTGATATATAGCTTGGCTTTGAATGATAATGGTGGTTTGAAATTTCTTTTTTAAAAAATTCAGAGGCTACTGAGAACGTAACATTGTCTGTTATGCAGTCGAGTAATCCACCAGGTCTTTGTCTGCTAACAGATGATTACCAGAGTTTTAGGCGGCATATCTTTCATTGGCCCAATATTTAACAGTTGAATCTATGTACATATATCCGGGCTATAACCATTCTTGCTTGCAACCATATTTTCATATGTATTGTGAAATAGTAGCACTATTTTTCTGTTCTTCCCTTTCCTGAGTCTCCAACATGGTAGCTGAAAGCAGGGGAAGCAGTAACTTCTCTTATTTTTTCTAAATAACCAGCTTTTATGATTTCATTATGTTTGTGTCATCTTTTCAGTTGTATAATAATGAAATAGCCCAGTTTTGCAGCTTACTGGGAAAAAATACGTGCTTTTACTGAATATGATTTGCTTTAGATAGCAATAGCACTTAGACTTCACAGTGCTTTACAGCCCTCTCTAAGTGATTTACAGAGTCAGCATATTGCCCCCAATAATCTTATTTTACCAACCTTGGAAGGATGGAAGGCCGAGTCAACCTTGAGCCAGTGAGACTTGAACTGCCGATGGCAGCCAGCAATCAGCAGAAGTAGCTGCAGTACTGCATTTTAACCACAGCACCACCTTGGCTGTACAATAACAAAATTTATTGTAGAACAGGGGTGTCAAACTGCCAGCCCGGCCGGATGCACCATAGCAAAACCGTGCCCACCCCATTGCAGGCAATGGCAAAAAAGTGGCGATATGTCGTGACACGTCACGTGATGTTGCAAGTTTGACACCCGTTGTAGAATATGGCAGCAAATAAACATTGGCTGATCTTGACAAATTCAATTGGTACATGGACGAGGCCTCCCCAGGAAATTGCAGTTGTTGGCTAGATCAGGAAATTGGAAAATCATGCCAGAAGAGGGCAGTGACAAACCATCCCAAGTTCTCCCAAGAGAACTGTATTTTTACCAAAATCAAAATAATGGCCCCTTTCCTAGGATCTCCTCTCTTGGGGAAGATTGGTCCAGGTTTCATGCAATGGAAGTACTGTAGCTGATTTTTCAGAGGAAAAAGACTACACACTATTAACTATTTCCCAAGGCACAATCAGAAACAGTTCTAGAAGATGGAATTAAAGTATCTAACTAGAAGTTACTTTCCCAACTGCAGCAGAGGCTGATTGGGAGAAATTCAGACTGAAAATGAGGAAGGGAATTGTAGGATGAAGTGTTTGGTAACCATCTCCTTTTTTGCAGAGTGTATTCTAAGATGTGGCCTCAGGTACAGTATACAAGCCACTATTTTACCTGTGGTTTGCCTAATTTTTTAGCCAAATATTTTCATAGAGAAAAGCACACAAAACTCTTTTCTACAAGAAAATCCAGGATGGAGGAATTAAAACAATAGGGAACAGCTGATATCTTCATATATGGAACAAACAGCCATATGCCAAAATGCTAGAAAAACAATCCTGTATTCTGCTGATCATCATTACAGCATCTTCATCTGTGGTTGCCATTCATAGCAGCAGATTCTGGCTAGGAGTCCTTTGGGAAAGGAAATGGATACCCTAGGAGGACTGAAAGGATGTTGCGCATGATTAGTTTTGCCTGTGAGGGGTTCCATCTCTCTAAGTGAGATCATATTTCACCGTCTTGTATGGTGGACGTCTTGGCTCTTGATCATGTGCTGGTCATCTTTGTATATAAGTTCTGTCCAAGCTGTTGGCTTCCCATGGTTACTGTTATAGCTGCCAGCTCCTCCTGATGTTTGAAAACAGCATCCATAAACTGACTAAAGACACGGTCCATGTAACTCTGATGGCGAGGTAAGAGCCCTTCTAGGAAGCCAATATGGCCACCTCGTTCAGTCACTAAGAGGGCGAGGGTGGACACATGCTGTGCGGTCTCTGTGGGAATAGCTGGAAGAAGACAGAACAAATCAGAGCAGGCTCCTAGTGGCCTTTCTCTAGAGGCAGGAAAAAGTATAGGACTCACCATGCTGAGGAGAGAAAGGGTCATCTGAAGCATTCAGACACAACACTGGCACTTCTATGCGACACACCTTCTGGGAAGGACTGGCTTCCTGGTAATATTCCTGGCATGACTTGAAACCAAAGACCACAGATGTATAGCGCTCATCAAACTCCCGGATGCTGCGAGCCTAGGAGAGCAAGCCCAAGGGTGGGGAAGGAGAGAAAGCACATAAGGGTCAAGGCATGGAGCAGAGCTTGGGCCTAGAAAAGGTTGGGAGGGTGGAGTGATGGTACCTTCAGCACATGGTTCACATCCAATCTCTCTTCAATGACCTTTCTATGCCTAGAAGGAAAAGAGTGTTATGATGAGAGACAGATTTTCTGGAAGGTAGTCGTGATACCTGCCTGAGTTGGCAGAACGCCTAATTAAGTTTTCAGTCCTGGGCTAGGCAAGGTCCCATTATAACATACACTCACCGTTTGATCAGGTTGCACAGGTTGGCTGTGAGGTACTGGTTGAAGAGGAATTGGTTGAGAGGCTGCTCAAGGGAATGGATTGTCTCAAATGCATCCCAGCTCACTGAGCAAGTCATGGCAGCCACCAGTCCAGCTTCCTGGCCCTTTTGCCCCAGATAGTTGAGAACCAGGATCCTGTCAAAAGAGAGTCTGGGTGGCTTTGGGCTGGATTGGGCACAAATGGATAGTTTTGATTAACCTTCAATGGTTAATCAAAAGACAGCTGGGAGTCAAGAAAATGCCTACTTGAAGCTTTGCCTTCTCATTCCATTCAGGAGTCATAAATGCTACACTTTCCTAAAGGAATTCCCATCCTGGAATCTATTAAAAGAACATATTTTGCTGGATCAAAAGTTCAAGATAGCTTTCAAGTGACATAGAACTCTTCACAAATGAAAGATTCAAGCCAAAAACTGTTCTTCCCTAGACAGTTTCAAATTATTATCTTCTGAAATAGAGCCCTTTCCAGCAGAGGATGTGAGAGAAAAATGAAATCACTGAGAGATTATTTGGACTGAGAGCTACTTTTAGAGCAGCTATCTGTACTAAGTTCCTACTGGACAGCTTCCCTCAACCTGATGCCCTTCAAAAGTTTGCATTCTCCGCAAGCTTCCCAACCAACTTGGCTGCAAGTGCATAACCACGTCTCTTTTGATTTCCTGGCTGTTAATTTAAAAAACATTTGAGTCTTAGCTCCTTTCTGGTGCAAAAACAAGCATGAAAAGATTCAACTAAATCTATTTATAATGGGGGAAAAACAAGACAGATTTAAAATTTTTAAGTGGCCTAGAAATGTCAAATGACGGCATCTTCAGAAGTGTATTTGGTTGCTTTTTCAAAATGTCATAGCCCTCAGGGCCTTTTGTGTAAGCAAGTTAGGGTCAGTGGTAAAGTAGATCTGCAACATCAAAGCTTGCCTTTGGCCAAGCAAGTTGTAGCTTTGGTTTTCATCTCCAACTAAAAAAGCTGGCTATGTATACTGAAATGCTGCCCAGATGCCCCCTTAAATAGTAACTAAGAGTAAATGTTTCCCTGACTATAAAAATTGTTTTTGCCCAAAGAGGTACCTGTTCCGTAAGAAGATAGTAGAAATTTGCAATATCAGAGGCAAGTTCCTATTTTGCATTACTATGTTCAATCTAGACAAAGTGTGTTTGGTGTTGCTGACTCATATCCACTGCCACAATGACTGAGCAAACAGACTTCCGGACTGCCTTTCATCTAGAATCTATCTATTAGGGACAGAGTCCTATCTCAAACACTTTGCTTTAGCTCTGTAATTGGTTCCAGTATGAAAGAACAGGGTGCAGCATTTGTTCTGTGAGGCTGTTTTCTGGAGCTGTTTCATTGGCTGTTGTTAGCCTCTTGGACTCTGAGATAAACAACAGTCAGTCCATTAGCAGCTGGGAAGGAAAAAACAGCCTCCATGGAGACTTTCATCACCAGTATTTCCACACAAGAATATCTACATAAAGAGTAGGCAGTCTTTGACCTACACACAGTCATCAACACTCATCTGTAGCCCACAAAGCATTGGTCCCCCCCACCCCCCGTGGAAGGGCTATAGGTTAAAATGGGTGCCACACGTATTTATATCTGCTTTATTCCTCAAAAGCTCCTGAATCACAATAACATTATGGAAAGATTAAGGGATAAAATGTCTCTGGTTTGGAACCGATTTTGCTCCTCAACTTGCATAAAAAAAATCCCCAAATCGATCATTCCTGCTCCATTGTGATTAAGTTATCAGCCATAAAGGTTGCACATCTGTCCTATAACTGCAGTCCGGCTCCCAGACTACATGGGGTAAGGAAAGGCCTTTAAAAAAGTTAACAAAAAAAAATCAGGTTGCTGGGCTCAATCAGTAGGAACATAGGGTGTGAGTGTACTGAATAATACAAGGGAGAATAAAACTGATATTTTCTTTGGGAACATTATTGCAATAAATGACTATGCTTTATAGCTTTTTAAAAAATGAACTTTGTTCTACATTCCTTCTTACCTAAATAAAGTGCTTACAGCAGTTTACAAAGATGATGAAATCAGGAAATAAGCAGTGCTACTGAAGTCATTTTCTTGTCCACATCTCACAATTTATGATGCACTTTGTTCTATAAGGCTTCTCACTTAAAAAAGGGGCTTACAGCAATTTATAAAGGCTGATGAAATCCAGGGGACAACAATGTTGTTGAAGTCATACATTTGCACACACCTTGCAAACAATCAAGGTATTCTGCAAATTATGGGTAAGAGTATAATCAAACAGCATTGTCCCAAAGGAAAAAACTAAAGCTACCATCAGAAGGTTGGAAAAAGATTTTTTTTTAATATCTATAGGGAAAGTCATATTTAGTAGAGGTTGGTACCTTATATGAGCCTTCAGCTAGGTTGAAGATACAGTAGAATCAAAGTGTTTGTTTTGTAAACCATTTTAAGATTATTGGCTTTTGGCTCTGTTGAAAGGGGGTTGAGTTGGAGAGTTTAAAGTAGGTGTAACAAATCTTTATGAACACATGGTACCCCTTATTTTAGCAAACTCAGGAACTCAGGCTACTGAAAACTGCTGCTAAATATTGATAATGCAATCTAGGAATGTTTAAGTTCACAAAATAGGTGAAACCACACAAAAATCTGAGGATTGCTCACCCTGACGTGGGGATGTGTGAGTCTGTGTATCTATCTTATATGACGCAGATGCAGCTAAAGAACGTGTCAATGATGGGAAGAAATTGAAAATATTAAATACACTGGTATATTTGGGAAGAAGAAAATGATGATGATGGTGGTGGTGGTGATGATGATGGAGATATTATCATCTCTAGTCCAATATTTTAAGTGATTCGATTTTCTATCTTTAATTAAAAGAATCTATGATAATGTGAAATACAAAACCAGACTGCCTCATCCTGGTATGCTCCTTGGGGTCAGAAAATTATGCTTCTCCATTTTCCCTTCTTTGGCCCAACCTAAGTCTCACCCGCCAAGAGAAATGCCAACTGCCATCAATGGTGCATGAGGGAACCGGCGTTTGATGTGGCCCACCACCAGCTCCAAGTCCTCAGTATTGGTGGCACAGAAAGCCCGGTGCGTCTGAAAGTAAGAGGGACATGGATGGGAGACCAAAAAGCAGTTCTGAACAGCAGCAAAGAGCTGTCTCTTCTAAAAGTGAGGTATGTGTGTGTGGGTGTTTGTGTGTGTTTGTATGGATCACCTGTAACAGACAAGTCCTCCTTTCCCATGTAATTAAAAAGCATTTGTACCTATCTCAGCTGCCAACATATATATACAGACAGGTTTGTGCTACACTGCAATAGCTCTTACCAGCAGTTCTTCTCCTCTGCACCCTCGATTATTAAACACAACAGCCCTGGAAGGGATAATGGTAAATTTCCATAAGAAGACATCATTTTCATTTTGACACAACCCTACACTTATTAGCCCTCAAACAAAACAGAACTCCCAAATGAATGTGACACTAGATCCAAAGTGAAATAAATCCAGTTCTCTAAATTTCAAAACATTGGGTGTGTTTTATGGTGTTTCTCACCTGTAGCCATGGCTCTGAGTGCTGTTTACCAAATGCAGAATATAAGTCTCTCGGCTGTTGCCTGTCAAGCCTGGCAAAAACAGGACAATGGGACAATTTTCTGGGTCAGGATGGGTCCCATGGTCAGGATCAGCCCAATCCAGGAGCAACTGCCCTCCATCTGCAGTTTGCAGCAATTCACTGAATGAGATGTAAAAAGAAGAGGCAAAATGTGGACAAAATGGCACTCAGTGTCATGTCCATTGTCTCAACCCAACAATGCAATCCCCCCCCCCCATAGTGGACTCACCTGTGGTAGGAAACCAATGGGCAGGATTTGATAAAGACGCGAACAATGGTCTGAAGTCGACCCTCAAAGCACCATGGTGTAGGGTAGAATGTCTCTTTCACAATGGGGCAATATTTCTCCAAGAAGGACTGGAAAGGCTGACAAGCCACCAGTAGCGGGCGCTGCAAAGGAACGAGTGGAATTATAGAGAGTGAACTTGAAAAACAAATCAAACTCAAAAGATCTCCTCCACTACCCCTCAGTAGGGCCACTCCTCCAGTTACCTGTGGAGAAGATGAATCACCCTGAGGCAAATAAGGAAGGAAAGCATTTGCAAGTTAGAGGAAAGTCCCTCCCCTCACACACACACACACACAAGCTTCTCTCAATACCCCAAGAAGCTAATAAAAGGGTTATTTTAATTATAAGACATAAAAGAGCTTCAAAAAGTACAGTAGAAAGCAACCAAATTTATCAAAAGACTGAAATGCCTTTCTCATGAAGAAAGTCTAGAATGGCTGGGACTCCTTAGCTTTGAAAAACACAGTTGGGAGTGGGGGGGGGGAGGGAAATGAATAAAGCAGATAAAAATAATGGATAAGGATACATTTTTCTTCCTCTCTCAGAATGCTAGGACCAAAAACCATCTCATGAGGCTGAGTGGGAAAAGATTTAGAACAGATAAACGGAAGCACTTCTTCATCCAGCACATAATGGACTTGTGAAATTCATTAGCACAGGATTTGGTGATGACTACTAATGGATGGTTTTCCAGGGCGACTGAGTAAATTCATGGAGGGAAGCCTGAAAACTCCTTGGATCATAAGACTTAATGTTATCTCAGGGTTGGGGGTTGCCTGTCCTAACCAGTAGCTGCAAACAAATATATGGCTGAGAGAGGTATATCTGCCTCCTTGGCTTGTGAGCATCCTAGAGGCAATTGGTTGGTCACTGTGGAAAAAAAGCTACTGGATGATGAACACTGGCCTGATCCATCAGGTTTGTTCTTACATAATGCAGGTATACAATACAGGTATGTGTAGGCAGGCAGGTTAGCACATCAAGATTACAGTGGAAATAGTCATCCAGGAAATTATTTTTGAAGATCATTGTTCTGTCAGGTTTCTGGGAAGGAGAAGTAGGAGGTAAATTGATCGCTCTGAAGTATATTATTATGCCCTAATTTTGCAATCCTAGAACCAAAGCAATGAAGGCACAGCCCAGATTTTGCAGAGGCCAGAATTTGTAATAGGATCCAAGGATCTGCTTCTCAGCAGGAAACTCGTTTGTCCTTATACAGCAAACAATTTCTGTTTCTTAAAATTCAGGCTGTAATGTAAATTTCAACTGAATGTAAAATACTGAACTCTGCATGAATTTTCCCCTGGATATCAAAAACCAGGAGTGTGAGTTCTAATCCCACCATATGCAGGAATAACTGATTTTGGGTCAGTCTCTCTTTCTCAACTCACCGGGGGGTGGTGGTTGTGGGGAAAATAGGAGGAGAAAGTAGTATTATGTATGTTTGACACCTGGAGTTATTTATAAAAATAATAAAGGAGAGCTATAAATAAATAAGCCTAGCAAAATGGAGTAGCTGTCGATATTTGGACTCTCTAGAGTCCTCTCTAGTTTTTCCATCTTTAGTTTTGAATGAGGTTGCATTATCCCCAGACAGATCAGCTGTGCAATCTGGAGGTCCTATTGGACTTTTGGCTTCTGCTCAAAAAGCAGGTGGCAGCTGTGGCTAGGAAGGCTTTTCCAGACCTTTGGGTGATATCCCAATTGTGCTCATACCTGGACCATGAGGTTCTGCTCACAGTAACCTTGTAACTTCTCATTTAGACTACTGTAAAATGTTCTACATAGGGCTGCCCCTGAAAAGCATTCAGAAACTCCAGCTGGTGCAGAATGCGGCTGGGCAGGTAGTAAATGGTGCCAGATATATTGCACATTTAACATTACTTCCGTGTGAGCCTCATTGGTTAATGGTGGGTTTCCAGGTGCAACTCAAGATGCTGGTTGTCACCTTTAAAGCCCTGATGGCCTAGGACTGGGTTACCTGAAGGATTGTCTTTTTCCAAAAGTCTCTATTCATCCAACTCAATCTAACAGAATCGGTATGCTGCAGCTCCCGTCAGCCAAAGAATATTGCCTGGCGGGGACTAGAAGATGGGCTTTTTCCTCAGTAGCCCCTGCTATATGGATTGTCCTCCCTTCAGAGATTAGAATGACCCCAATCCTGTTAGCCTTCCATATGGCTGTAAAACCCTAGTTATGTTCCAGATCCTGGGGTGCTAAATGTGTTAAGGGTCCCGTTTCCTGGCTGTATTACTAACTGGCCCAGTATCTGAGTTGCTATATATATTTATTTTAGATGTTTCTATTGTTTTTATGATTTTAAAAAGTTTTTAGTGTCTTAATAATATATGTTTTCAATTGTACACTTGAACAGCTATAGAAATTGAATAAACAAACAAACAAACAAATATTTCATGGCAGGCTTGAATATGTGAAATTCTATTTAGCCTTTCCAGTGGAGCCTGTAGGGTGTCTTGGCTTTTGATGGAGTATGCTGCCTTCAATTGTACAAAGTAAAAGCAGAATATAAATTTAAATGAACTATTTATAATGTGAATTAGCCAAGATGCAAAGGCATCTGCACAGTAATACTTGACAGCCAAAGCAAGCAAATCTCCACCCACCAGAAGGGCTTAAATGCAAACAAACTAAATACCTAAAGAGCTTGTGGTTAGAGGTCTGATAAAAATCAACCAAAAACCAGCTTGTATATTCCCGAATGAGAAGGAGATGCATATTCCATACAAAAAAGAAAACAACATAAAGGCAGGTGTATTATGGTCAGAACATACCAATACTTGACAACTAAAATGAAGGAAACAGGAGTGGGCAGGGAAAAGCAAGGAAGCAGGTGAGGAGTTTCTGTCCTTAATTAATCCTGTAGCAAGAGCAGAATCAGCAACGTATAAGTGCAGAATACTTCAACTGAGTGGCTTTCTGGCAATCCTCCATAGAGGCACCCTTGCTAGTAAGTTAGTAGAAAGGATGGAAACCGGGCTCAGAGAAATAACCTTGCTTTAGGGGCCAATAGAAAGATAGGAAAACATTGTGTGAAGTTGGCCACCAAAGTCGCTATGCCCCCTTTCGTGGGTTCCATTTTGGAGTTTGGTGGGAACCCTCTGATATATTTCAGAGAAATTAAGTGTCGTTTTTATTTTCCATCGCCCCGAAGAAAAACTCGGAAGCCGCTCCGCTCATCGCTTCGCAAATAGGCTCTACTTCATCGCCTCGGAACTTTTCCTGCCTCCCCCTAACCCAGGGGTAGGCAACCCTGGCTCTTTTATGACTCGTGGACTTCAACTCCTAGAATTCCTGAGCCAGCATAGCTGGCTCAGGAATTCTGGGAGTTGAAGTCCACGAGTCATAAAAGAGCCAAGGTTGCCTACCCCTGCCCTAACCCATCCCTAAGCGTACTCAAAGACGCTGCAATACCGGTGCTTAAGGCTGACCTTGGGGACGCGCGCCCAATAGTACAGGAGCCAACCGGTGCTGCAGCCCAGCAATAACGACAGTCCCAGCATCGTCTTGACTTTGTCCTCCCTCGTCGGCGGAATCAGGCTCAGCCGGCGGCCAGGCAACGAAGGGACCGCTACAGCAAACAAAGCGAATACAAAAGTCAGACACAGCCCTTAAATACAGGCCCCGCCCCCTTTGTGATGAGCAGGCGCCTTTGCTCCGTCAGCCGCAGCGGCCATCTTTGTGACGGGAATTCCCGTTCATCCTACCCGACATTGGACAAAAAAGGCTGGAAGTCGGATCTCCCGTGTCAGAGATCAGGGTTCGTCGAGCACCCTTGCGCTTCTGCCGCGCTTCGTGCCATTTCAGCGTGTCTACTTTTTTCTGGGGAGGGAAGGGAAAAGTCCGCGGCGATCTTTCCTGAGCACTTCCTTAAAACGGGCTAACTTACTTTATTGAATCTTCTTCCTCCGGGCCAAATTCCCTAAGATGGTCAGTTGGTGGAAGAATGAGCAGAGAGACTAATGAGCAAAAAAACAAAAAACAAAATAAAACCCTAAGACAAATAAGAGAAGAAGGAGCAGAGGAGAAAGAAAGCATTAGGTTACTTAAAAAACGACTGTATATATGTTAAGAAAGCATTCAACTGACAAGGAAAGATAAAACGAGGATTTTTTTTTATTGTATGATACCATTTTCAAGAAAATAAAGAGAACTTCTGAAAATGAATAAAACACTCTTGTCATGTTTGCCAGGTGAAGCTTGGACTTCCACACTAATATAAGAAGACCAAACCTTTGTTTTCATTGTTACTAATCGATAATTAAAGCAATGTAATTGTGCCTCATTTCATCCAATACAACTATCTTGTAACAGGAAAAGTAGGCTGACACTGGTGGTTAAAGACATCATACTGAAGTCAGTTAAAGTCCTAGGGATTGCATTTGCACCTCTTAATTTTGGTTACATTAAACTAAATTAAGCATCGGAATGTAGTGTTTATGCAACCCCCCTCCTAAATATATTTACTAATTAAATTAAGTGGATGTGGGAATCAAGCCACTGACTGAGTTCAAATACTACATTAACTTGGTTATTAAAGACTTTGAAGGAGGAGATCCCTCTTAGCCTGTGGCTATCAAAAATCAGAATTTTGATAGCATCTTTTCTGAATAATATGTTTGATTAAAAAGCATAAGCTTCTGTGATCTGATGAAGGAAATGATTCCATTTCTTTGATATTGTGATGATGTACCTGATGAAGTGACTGCAACTCATGAAAGTTTATGCCATTTAATAATGTTTGTTAGTTGGAAAAGGTCTTACCAAACTTCTTCTGATTTGGGTGTTACTAAATTAACCCATTGTCTGGAATCACAGTATGTGGAATAGTAAATTAAATGTGCTAGATTCACACAATTTGCGTAGTCATGTATGTACAATAACTAATTAAGGTTTAAACTAATCAAGCCTGGTATATTATGAAAATGCACCTGATCAAGAATTCTGGGCAAACTCGGTCACTAAGAGAATGATGTACTTCGATCTCCTTAGCCAAGACAGATTCAGAACTTTGCCTCTTAACTGTTACATGCTGGGTTCAGCCAAAATGTGAGGTTTCTTGTTTCTAATGTGGTGCATTGGTGTGTTGAAACAAACACAGTAATTGTAGTTTATAAATCCAAATAAATAAGGGTTATTCACTTTACCACAGTTAAATAAATAGCTTGATGTGAACATGATTGTCAACTATTTGCAGAACCATACAACAAATGTTGGTGGAACATTTAAACTTGATAGTTGTAGTATGGGAGAAGTGTCAGCCAATTCTGTAAGATTAGTGAAAAATTCTGCCTTAATTAATCTACCATAAAGCAGATTTTTCTTTCTAAGGTTTCTAAACAGATATTTCTAAGAAATTAATCACTCGCAAAATAGTTAATTTTTTTTTGGGGGGGGGACAATTGCATTTCAAATTGCAAACAAAACCTACTCCTGTTTATTTCATTGTAGGAATGAAATTCAATCTTGGAATTTATTTGGAAAATCATTTTGTCATGAAGCTTCCTAAATGTAGATAGTTAATGTTTCACCATCTGCCAAAATGTGCTTAATTATTACTGCTTATGTGCCATCAAGTCATTTTATTGCCTATTTTATATAGACTCATTTAGATTTAAATGACTGAACAAACATTTCTTTTCAACAAAATAAAATAAATAAGAATTAGAAAAATGCCACTACATATGGCATTACAATTTGAACATAGTTGTTTACAATTTGAACATAGTTGTAAAATTAAAAGTCCAATTGTTATTTAAGTTTAAAATATTTAAACATTCTGTTATTTACATCTGGCCAACTGTGTTTTTGAAGGAAAAAAGAATTAAGAAAGTAATACTATCCGTGTAGCTAGATGGCAGCACATCATTAAACATAGGTTCATCTTAAAAGTAGAATTAGATGGGGTAGCCTTTTAAAAGAATGAAGAAATCTCAGTTGCAGGCTAATTGAGAAGGGTAGACAGTCCATGAAATCACCAGGAATGATTTGAAGTAGACAGATACCTTTTACTGAATCTGAACTGACAGATAGCTGTTGGCTTGCTCAATTGTTGCAAATAAAAGGACCTCTAGGAAGTGGCAACAGGGCGATGGCCATAATTTTATAGGGGACAAAACATGAGTAATATGCTTTCTTCCTACATCACAGGATGGTCTACTTGCAGGATCACTTCCTCCCCATTTTTTTCTTCCAAGAAAGTTTGTAAAGGAATGTAATGCAAACCTAAGCTATAGTTAGTTAGTTAGTTAGTTAGTTAGTTAGTTAGTTAGATAGATAGATAGATATAAATTGAACTATAGCTTAGGTTTGCATTATATTCCTTTACAAATATATATATATATATTTGTAAAGGAATGTAATGTAGTTTAATATATAGAGAGACTGAATTACATATAGTATAGTTCAATATATATCTCTCTACTCAATATATATATTCAAATATATATATTGAGCTATAGTTTAGGTTTGTATTACATTCCTTTACAAATTTTGTAAAGGATATGGATGTGGCATAGGAATATGGTATGTGTCGGGATTCTGAACATGAGCCAGCCCTCCAGCCCTATTACTCAAAAATGAAGCTTCCTTTCTTAATTTCATCCACCCACCCGTGGCTCTTTGAGTTCAAAAGCAGATGATGGAGTCTTCCGTGGGAGAGAAACTGCAAACGGAATGTTTATCAGTGCTCCTTCTGTAGGGCAGGGACACCCAGGAGTGATGGTCTCAGGAGCTCTGTGGAACTGGAAGCAAGACGCTACCCGCCGTTTTCTCCTTCCCCCATCCAGGAATCACGACGAGATCCTTCTGAAGGGCCTCTGGGAAGAGCGATTCCCTTTGTAGATCATCCCCAGCGACCGGCTCGCAAAGAGCGCGGGGAGCAACAAAGCAAACTGCCCTAGAGGAATACTAGAAGTCAGAAGGAGGAGAGAGGCGGGAATGAACGTGTCAGCCAGCATCCGCCTTTCCGCCACGTGGCCCCGAGACTGCGGCCGATGGGCACCAACCGGCGCTGCGAAGCGACTGCGCCAGGAGAAGAAAGAGAAGGCCTCTCTCCACGCCCCCCCTCCCGCCCAAGCCCACCACGCGGATCCGCGCTGCCTGGAGAATTTGGTAACTGGAGGAGGAGATCCATGCTCAACAGCGTTGCTCCCTGCTGCTGTGCCACGCCCTGCCCCGCAGAGGGCGAGGGCTGCCCTGCAGAATGGGTGTGCAACGGGCAGGGGGAGGGAGGATGGCATCACCGGACTCTCCGGCCCGAAGTCCTTGAGGGCAGGAACGGAGGCAAGAGTTGCTGGGCACTAGGTTTTTTTCCTCGCTGGCTGCGTTCCCTGCAGCTGGAGCACTAGCAGTGGAAAAAGATAGGGAAGACTGTGCCACGTCCACCTGCAGGTCAGACATATATGCCTTTTAACCATTCTATATATTTTAAAGCAAAATGTTGAGAAATTAGTGGAGTAAATGATGATGGGCTCCGCTGCAATCTCTCCCTCTCTAGTGGGTTAGTTTTCTATTTGCAGTGAATGATGGGAGAGAACATACTGAGAAATGTATTTCCCCTTAGCTGCAGCTGAAAGTGGTCAAATCTGTACTACCACTGCACCCCATCTTCTGACAGGTAATGTGTGGGAGCAGCATGAAAGGGATGAGGTGACCTGGAATGTAGAATAATGTGTGGGAAGGAAGAATAAAATATTGCTTCCCTGCTTGATTCAGGTTAGTAAAAGGCACCAAGGATGTGAATTATGGGCTGATTGTTCTTAAAGGCAGCATAGCTGCGCTTGGTGGCAAATTGGACCAGACCGACTTTTCTTCCATATGGACGGCTCATGATACTGTCTGTCTTCTCTGGCTGGAAACTTTCCTTTTGCTAGCCCACAGTGTGCAACAGGAACCCCAATGTTCATGGGGTACCATAGCCATCTCTGTCATTGCAGGTAGCGGTGTTCATTCCAGAGAGGTATTTCTACCTCCAGTGACCTGCAGAACGTGAACTGAAGTGTCTCGCCCCTGCCCACCAGCACCAGAATGAAGGAGCTATTTCTAGCAGTTTGGTTCTTCGTTGTGCCAATCAGCTGGGCAGCACCAAAGAACAGCAGTGGCAGGTACCCCCTAGTTGAAAGGGACGAGGGTTTCTGTGACCACAGAGACGGGCAGGAAACTGTCCCCTAAAGGAGCCTTCAGAGCTGAGAATGGGTCAGCAATCCATTTCCCACTCAACAGAGGGGATTAAACGCCTTTGTACCTGCCCCACTCTTTTTATGTCTTCTAGGCCTGAGATCCCCCACGATTCCATGGATCAACCCATCCTAAATCCTCTGCACCCAAGCCAAGTTTCTCTTAAGTAAGTGCATGTCATCCAACAGATGTACCTTTCCCAAAATTCAGTCCTTTTGAGACATATGATAGGTTGAGATCCAAGAGATCCAAAATTTGGTTGATTGTCTTTCTGTCCCCTTCTATCCCAGGACATTCCCGTTCCATTTTATCTCCAAAATAACAGGGAAAGATTCCATCTCCACATTCAAGTAATTTATGTATTCCAGCTAAACTTGGAGACTTTTTAGATCTGGTTTGCCCTGGCCTCGGCCTATCAATATATTAATGTTCATAATCAGCCAGGCATATACTAGCTGGATTTAAATTACTCACTAGCCTAGACAAAAATGCGAGCTTGGAGCTTATGATTTAGCAAGTTGTAGGGCCTCAACCATTATCTTAGGTATTAAGCAGCAACACGTTATTTATTTATTTGAGCATAGCATGGGGTATGAACACAGCAGCTGCATTTTGTTTCTTCAGATTTAGGATTTAGTATGTTGGCTGAACTCGGGGATTAAATACTTATCTGATCATTTGAAGAGCGTCCTTTCCACACCATTGAGGCTGGGCATATGTCCAACAAAATGGATTGGAGACCCAAATGACTTTGCCCATCTTCTCACTCACTGATTCTGAGAGCTACAGCATTCTCTGTGCAGTGGTTGTTATCTTGTCCTCTGAAAGTTCGACAACATATCTGTGCTGTAGCTTGTTCCATCATGGCAACATAATGGACGATAGCTTGGTCTGTTCTAGGGTGCTCCAAGACTATCTGGAGAACATTGGACAGTTGAATGGGGATGCTGCTACCATGACAAGGGAACAGGGTAAGAACTTTACTACTTAATGCATATTGAGAGGGCAAAGTGAGGGCAACTGATAGTTCCTTGCTCTAGGAAACAAGAGACTAGTTTTAAGCACATATTCAAAAATAGGGGTTCAGGAACATGCCAGCAATGCAAGGGTTCGTTTAGTTCTGTAGCTCTTTTGAAGTTGGAAAAGATATTCCAACAAACAAAGTATGCAGGATTATTTGAGTAAACAACAACAACAACACATAAGAAAAACAACATAAGTTCTGAGTCCACAGCAACTAATTTTACAGATTGAGAGAAACATTGTCAGAGCAAATAAAGAAAGCAAAACAAATTATATAAGCTGTCTATCTTTCACCGAAGAAAAAACATCACCTTTTGAAATCAGAGGGCTCGGCTGCAGAGAAGGTGCCGCTTCTCTTAACAATTTGTCTCCTTCAAATTATCCTGCTTGAAGGCAGAGCGGTTTTTGAGTCAGTAGTTATTTTTCAACCTTCTTTGAAATTAATCCCTCAAGTTTCATTAAAATGCAAAGGATAATCAATCACCATTTTCCTCTAAAAATTACCTTTTTGATCACAGCAAGCCTGGCCCTGATAGACAATAAAAAGATGGTGGCTTCTTATGCAATAGTTTGAGATGTTAACTGATTCAACGTGGCCATCTCTGATATTTTGCTTTCACTTTTTAATCTTGTGCTTAGTCTGAACCCGTTCATGCAAAGCCTATTATTATGTAGTAAACCCAGAGCCTAACATAAATCCCCAGCTTGCCCTGTACAGTTAAATGGCTGAGGTTGTGCTTGGTGGTTTCTCTGTCTTCTGTTCTCAAGACAGAAAGAAAAACAATCCAGTTTTGGTTTTTTGGGTCTCCTTTACATGATTTGCGGAGTACTGGAGACAGTTCAGGGTTTTTAGAGTTCTCTTTCCTACGCTTGTTCTCCCAAATAGAACCAGAATACTTTAAAAGAATCTCCCCCACCTAGCTCTCTTTGGAAATGTATCAGTGGCTAATAAATGTTAGACATGAAGCAAATTATGCTAGGCACCGATTTTCTGTGGCAGAGAAGGCCCAGGAATGTGGGAATTCAGCAAACTCAATGCAGAAGAAGTACACAGTTTCTCTCAAGCATTCAGAGATGTTGTTGGACATGGGCAAAATGAAATGCTTTCGTAATGGATTATAGGTTTGTTTCTGTTGTTGGTGCTGATATGGATATAAATGCTGCCTTTCAGGATGGATTCATTCTGTTATTCTAAATTTAGAAATGGTTGCTTGTGATATTTACAACAGCCTGCCTTGCTTCTGTTATACCAATTAAACAGCAGACAGACAGGCATGGAATATTTCCAGGCATAAATTCCACTCATGAACCAGCTAGCCCAACTTTGCTTAGCATTCAAAAATGCTTTTAGACCTCATGGTTGGAATATAAGAAACTGAAAATGTAGTGAACATCTATTTTTTAAAGCCTCAGCAGATACTAACAGGAAATGAGCCAAGCTTGGGCCAGCATGTGTTTTACCACGTGTCAGGGCAGTGATCAGGTGCCAGGCAATCGGTTTTTAGGATCCAGAGACAATAAGGACACCAGTAAATAAAGGGATTTTAAGCTTCATTTGCTCAAGCAAACAGATTTGAAAGCATAATATAAAAAGCATACATACCAAGGAAGATGAAACCCAAATCTCTTACAAACAGAACTATGAGACAGACAGCAAATACATTTGATATAAAAAAAAATTATCAGGAGCTCCTTAATAACAGCAGCAGAGATACCATGAGGGCTGCCAGTTTCCACGGTACCCAATGCTAGGCTCTTGCAGAAGCTCCCAATGAACAACAGCAACCTGAAGGTTTTTATCAGTACCTGGCATCATGACTTCATGGCCCTGCTATGGTCATGAAAATGCAAGGCCTGACCATGGCTGGGTGGCACATGACCCTGGGATGGGAACTGAAATTCTGAAATTTTCGCAGGTTTGCAGCTATGTGAAGATTCTGTCTTTTATTCAGCAAGCAAGAGTGAAAAACAGCCGCCTTAGCTCACAATGAACTCTAAACTTCTAGATTTTTTTTAATATGGAGAAATCAAAATATGTTGCTAAACAGTGGTCTTCAAACTACTCAAGGCAATCTGGGATTGCACTGTGGGAGCGGAAACTAGATTCCTTAGCCACTCCGCCTCCCAGTGATCAAGAAAAGTGGGGTTTGGTGGGAATATTGTTTAGGAAAAACATCAGCATTCACAGAATCATTGAGTTGGAAGAGTTTCTAAGGTCACAGGATCCAAACCCCTTGCTCCATGCATGAATCCAAATGAAAGCATTCTTAACAGATCGCTGTCCAATCTCACCGAAGAGTCCCCTCACATCTCTGTTGAATTGGATCCATTGTCAAATGCTCTTACTACAACATTAAGAAGCTTTTGCTGACATTCATTGGGAGTCTGCTGTAATGGGCTGTGAGAATATACTTGAGGAACAGGGAGAAGAGCCATAACCAAGACAACAATAAAAGAAATGTAATCTGAGAAAACATTTCAAAATTGACCTTTCTTAGTTCTCTTATAAATAATGGCAGGGTGGGAGGGGCACTTTAAGGCTTGCAAGATTGTGTTACAGGTAGTCCTTGACTTATGACCACAATTGGGACCAGAATTTCCATTCCTAACTAAAGCAGTTAAGTGAGTTGTGCCCGATTTTGCAATCTTTTTGCTACAGTTAAGCAAATCACTGCAAATCACTGAATCACGCAGTCATTAAATGAATCTACTTCTCCCCATTGACTTTGTTGTTGGAAGCTGGCTGGGAAGGCCACAAAAGATGATCATATGACCCCAGGATGCTGCAACCATCGTAAATACAAGTGCCCAAATGTTGATCACATGTCCATGGGGATGTTGTGACAGTTGTAAGTTAGTCCCTTTTTTCAGTGCCTTTGTAACTTTGACTAGTCCCTAAACAAAAAGTTGTAAGTCAAGGACTACCTATATTATAAGCCTCTAATAAAAGTAGTACTAATTTTCTAGTCTGATCTGCCACGAAGGTTGGCATCTGCTTTGCTTTAGCTTAAATCCATTATTCCACATCCTGCACTCTGATACAATAGAGAATAGCTCCCATCAGTAGCTTCCAGTAGGAGCTGTGTTGGCCTCTGCTATTTTTTAGTTCACTATGCATTCCTTCTCTATTCCAATTCTTTCTAGCGCTCTTGCTTCTCTTTGCTCTTCATGATTATGACAAAAGTGGGCACTTGGATGGTCTGGAATTCATGAGGCTGCTGAGTGAATTGGTGTCTCAACAGGCAAAAGGACAGCCTGCATCAGATATGGTAGGCACATGTTATTCCTCAGTCTCAGATAAGATTGGCACCTTTGCCAACTTTTTTTAAAGAAATAAAAACTAATGCAAACTAAAAAAAAGAAAAAATGGAAAATGTAAAAAAGAAAATAGAAACAAAATTAAAAATGTAAGAATATAGAAGAGAAAAAGAAAAAAATATACTGACTTCCTCCTTCATAACAAGTATAAACAATGTTAGTAAGTTATCACTTTCTTTTAAGATACAATAAATGGTAACGTTCCATATTGATGTCTTACCTATAAACAAATCCTTAAAACCTCATCATTCATTCCTGGTCCACAAACATCCAAGAAGGGTTACCAGAGTTATTATTTGGTTATCTATTTTTTACTTTGATCAAATAAATCCACTTTATGTTCCTTCCTTTTACTTTTAACAATCAAGATCTTTAATCTTTCAAATAATGTTCTAGAACTTGATTTCTTACCATTTTTTTCTTCGTCACTTCTCACAAAATCCTCCAAAACTTTAATAGGTTTCTTTTGTAAGTCCAATATAATAAAGTTATCCAAGTCATACTTTTGGTTTGTTATCTGTTTATTCCTTTTAATCATTAAGGTGTCATCTGCATTTCTAGTGCAGCATCTTTTTCTATATCATTTTTGTAGCCTCTCATCTTCAAATCCACTTTCAAATCAGTCTCAATCTTGTCTGGTAAAACTTGGTCCTCTTGAATAACATCCTTAAAAGACAGTATATAATGGTACAGACTCTTAAAAGTAACTTTTGGATCCATTGTTACTCAATGTCCCTCAGTATGTCTAGTGTCAAAGTACTGCTCCATTCTAAATTAGTTCATCAAATGTAAATGTTCTTCTTCTTTAATTATAATCTTTAGTTCCTTCTGGGTCCCTCTGTAGTGTCCAACCTTCAAAGTCCCATCCTATCAGGGGCTTTTTAAAATTTAAAATAACAGCATTTTCCCATGGGAAGGCTAGTTATAGTTAATTTCAAAATCTTATTTCAAATCTATCTGAACCCTTAGTCCATTTGTAGCTTTCTGAAATCAATGTTCTAATAACCCTTTTTCTGTTTATTCCACATTGTTTTAAGTTTTAAGCTTGTATTTAAAACTTTTGTGAAGGATTGAAGGAAACTCACCTTGTGCTATAAAACATGCCAATCCATAGATTCCTTCTATTGGGATGACTAGTTCACCATGGATCTTCACCGGAAGTCCCCACATTTTTGCCAACTCTTGAGTAACACAAGAGTTGCCTCCAGCTGTTCTCACTCTTTTCTGATTGAGCCTTATCTGAATCTCTGTATTCAGTAGATTTTTTTTTCTGTTCAGTTGTGTCTGCTTGAACAAGTAGTTTTCTTGGCAAAGTTTTTCAGTAATGGTTTGCCAGTGCTTCCTTCCTAGGGCTGAGTGAAAATCACTCACCCAGAAATCAGATTTCCAGCCTGATGCTTTAACCACTACACCAAACTGGCTCTCTCTCAATAGATAATAAGCTCCAAATGGTGTACACTGTTTCTATTTTAAAAGTATCTTGTTGGCCATGGTAGGAAAAGGAAGCTGAACTAGACTTGGCCTCATCCAGCTCAGGTTTTTTTTTATCTTTCTTCTGTCTATAGAATATGTCAGTTACATTGTTCCTTATCTTAAGTTTGTGTTGATAATTGGAAGGCTTTCTTGATTACCTCTGCTATTCTCCTTTCAGGTAGTGCCAATGGTGGACAGTATCTTGGAGACTCAGGACTTCAACTGGGATGGACTATTGGAGCCTTCAGAGTTGTTTCTTCCTCCCCGGCAGGGAGAGAAACCAAACTTCCTTACCTCTGTCAGTGAAGAAGATGGCCCAGTCCTGTGGGCACTTCCTAAGCCAAATGAACCAGCCATTGGTTTCCCAAGTCCTTCTGACCAACAAAGCAATGGAGGCTCCCCACCTGCACCAGCAGTTCAGGAGCAAGACATGATGGGTGACCAATTGTGGAGCCTGGAGAAGCATGGGGAAGAGCTCGGCCAGGAAACTGCAGGAGACCCAGATCAACAAGGGGAAGAGATGCCTTCTGCTCCAGGAGATTGAAATATACCCTGTGCATAACCTTAGGTGATTGGCCAAGAAATGAGGACTGAAGGCCTGCAGGTCAATTTCAGAAATGGAATGCAGATAATCACCCCTTTCCCAACATTTCCTTCTGTGCAATCTGCTCCTGAGTTTTCAACTCTTCTCTACCGAAGCAAAACAGAATAGGATTCCCTGTTCAGTCAGCTCTGCACTCTGTTATCTAAAGAGATTTCTTTTCCAGATTTCAAGGGATGCATATCCCAAATCTAAAACTTGAGAAACAGAAGTCACAAAAAAGTTATCCCTAGCACAATGGCTCCCCTTTCTCCTCAGTGCATCAATCAGACATGGAAGCCTCTTCCCTGCCTTCCCCAGTATACAGGACCACAGCCTTTCTAGCAGGTGATGCTACCTAGGTAGGAAAGATTTCTCTAAACTGAAAAGCCTGTCTCAGCAGGTTGTCTCCCTGAATAGTCTCTCTCTTCACAGAGCAGGCTCCCGATTCTGGAGAGCCTACTTAGAATCTCTTACTCTGCCTTCCTCAAGTAAGGAGCTGTAGCAGAGGGACAGGACAGCACTTACCACTATAATTTCCCAGTCTGGCCAAGGATTTAGCTGTGCATTTCAGATGGTCATTCTGGTCATTCAGCAGATTCCTTTGGGGAAAAGCCTACACAACACTGCAGAAGGCATCACGTAAGTCTTTTGCCAGCGCATTTAAATTATCTATATAATTTAAATGACCTCCCGTCTCACAAAAGTGACTCTGAAATTAAAACAAAAACCACAAGCCATGATTTCCAAGGTTAAATCAGTAAACCCCAATCACAAAAGAGAACACATCAACAACAGCAGAGCTCGCGTAACCTCCTGGTCCAAAGCCTGGGGAAAGAGCCAGAGATGCGTATGCTTCTCCTGTACTTCTGCTTCTCCAAATCTGCCAATAAATCATCTGCAAACTGAATATGTTTCTGGACCATATAGGAAGAGCAACAAATTACCAGGAATCTTAGTGGCTTAGAGAGGCAAGGAGGAACTTCCCTTACAAGGTAGGGGAGCCGATAATCACAGTAACTGGCAAAGAGGAAAACTTCAAGGACGGTCACGTCGTTTTAATCCACTGGGCAACTAGCTGTTTGTACTGTATTCTCCCTCACATGATGTCTTCAGCCAGAAGAGAAGTAGGCTCAGTGGTGGGGAGGAGTGTTCTGGCCATTGTTAGGTGGCATGGATTAGTATTCTCCTTTTCTCTGTTACTTTACTGAAGTCTTTTAAATCGCTCCCAGCCTTGATGTACCGAATAGCAACAAGTGCATCAGCAGCATTTTAATTCCATGTCCTCTCCCCTCTCATTACTTCTGGCACTCCTGGATCTGGCTGGCTGAGGCACAGCCAATCCTTTTCCTCCGAGGCCAGCCTGTGTACACACACACACACACACACACATACACCACACACACATCGAGTAGAATTACTTGCATAATGAACCAGGAGCAATCAGCAACCTCAAGTATTTTATTTATCTTTTCATGTTCATACAGCGAAATCTCTTTTCCTCCTGGCAAGAGACAGGAGCATCTGAGCCAGCTCAGCCAGACTGCATATGGAATGTGTGGCAGGCAGCCTGACATGTCTTCCCACCTGCAGGAGATGCCAGAGGAGCAGTGCCATTGCCACTAGCAAATAGAACACAACCGTGAGAAATACAGTATTAGTCCATGGTCCAGTGAAATCCAGCAGGTCCAGTTTTCAGCATGCTGCTCACATGATTCCATCATAGCCGTGAACCCCACACTTCCGGCCTGCCACCTGGCATCCGTAGGTTAATGCTGCAGGAAGTGTTTTTCCTGCCACAGAAAGTGAGAAATCAGTTTAACTTTAGGGCAGATGGGCATAATTGCTGTTCTTTAAAGTACAAGAGATGGAGGAATGATGGCCAGGAGTTTCCTCACCATTCAGATCTCCTTGATGCTATTAGATAGTGGTTTATTGTGCAACTTAAAAGTATTCTGTCCGAGACACACAAGCAATTGTAAAGGGTTCTGCCACTCATGCTATATTCACAAGAAAATGAGAAGCACCCAGAACTTACCTTTGCTTAGAGCCAGGATCACAGCAGCATTGAATGTGTCTCCAGCCCCCAGAGTGTCCACAACAGTTTCAGGGGAGACTGCATCTGAATGCACCAGCAGCCCATCTGGTCCCATTGCATCAGCTCCATGCTCAGCCCAAGCACAGACCAAAGTAGCTCTAGAAATGGACCGACAAGGTAGGTGGTTCGCTATGGGATGAGTGAGAATCCCAAAATACAGAAGGATATGGAATATAGAAACTAACCTATATAGTGTTTTGGATTCATCAAATGAATAAATCTAAATTACTACACAAGCAGGCAGATGCCCGAATGTATTCCTTGTCTGCAATATTCCAAACCATATGATCTCAGGAAAAAGTAAAGATGCTTCCAGGTGTTGCAGAAAGATGGTACATTTTCACACCTGTCTGCTTCATAGTATTTTGGTGGGACTGAATCCAAAGCATTGGACCAGCATTAATAGATATTTCCCTCCCCATTCTTCCATACAAAACATTCTCTATTCCAGCTATTTGGGACCTCATCAGCAAATCTGAAGGAGTGTGAGTTACTGATAGAGACTGCCACATAACTGGGAAGGCTGACTCTTGATTGTCCACCCATTCCAAAAATTTTCCCCGGGCGAGAAGCTGAATCTGTCTGAGCTTTCCTTTCAGCTCTCAATAGGGAAGTCTGTGCAACTCAGCCTTTGGCCTAAACAGAAAGAAAGATAGAAGACCTTAAGGGAACACTAGATAGGAAGGCATGATATAAATCTAATCAATAAAGTATTAAAAAATTGTGCTTCTGACATAGGATTACTAACTAAAGCTGCTGCAAAAGATAGCACCCTGGATTGTCCATCACGTGCAACAAGCATTTAATCTGATTTGGGCGTATCAGCTTGTAGCATCAATTGAACCATGATCAGTACAGTTCTGGTTTAGCATGGAATGAAGCCACACCTATTGCAGTTTATTCAACAAGACCCAGTCATACGTGGTTTGGCACAGTCTATGTGTGACTCCGGTCTGAACTTAGCTGCTAAGAAATATCTCTAAAGCTGCTGGAAAAGAAGATCATCTCCAAACCATTAAATGACTTGTGATTTGGGCTGTCAGGTTTCTTACAATTGGTGAAGTTGGCTGAGACGACCTCTAAAGGGCTTCCATTTTTGCCTCTGAGATTCTCTTCATTCTGCTATTCTATTTCATAATACCCCCAATAACAGGTGAAGGATCCAAGTTTGTCCCCATGTTTTGGTTCCCTCCTACCCTGGTTTCAAACGCCCATAGAGGCCTTTCACAGCCTCAGGAGCCGAGTAGAATCCAAATGTCTTGGCCACATCTTTGCTGACAAAAACCTAGAAGAAGAGAACCACAATAAAGTCACCACTTTTTGGCTGAGCCTTATTACACAGTATCTCTGGGTGACCAGATAGTGAGTGCCTCAGAGTGCTATGTGTGAAGGGAATGACTGTGAGTCTCAAGAGCATGGGGGTGTATTCTCAAGAACATGGGGGGGTGTTCTAGCTAGACTTAGAGAATTTCACCTCACAGCTGTAGAAATCCCTCAAGAATATTGCTGTTTACTTCTTTGTGCACACAGAACTCATCTGTAGAAAATCTCTGGAAATGTGTGACTGAAACAGTACTATTGATTCAGAAAGTGAACTTAGAATCCTTAAAAATTATACAAGGGATGCCAATACATCTTCTTATGTGAAGAACGTAACTGAAGGGCAGGTTGTTCTTCATCACTGTGCTCTTTCTTTCTTGACCAGCTGTGCTTCCCACCTACATGAACCTATATCACCCCTTCACCCTTGATCCCTTACCACATCTCCATAGCAAAACAGCTGGTAGAGTTCTGGCCTGGTCTTTTCCACCTCCACAGATGTGGTCACTCGCTCAGATGGTGGGCAGGCGTGGTTATACTTTTCCACCTGTTGCAGCATTTTAACCTGTTCCGAAGCATTCCTCCCCTGGGAGAAAATGCTACTGTTAGTGACACAATCTGAGATGTCTGTATTTGACATTATTCCTGGAATTATTGAAAGCCTTTGTGACCTTAGATGCCTCACCACTTTCACTGGTTGGGCCATGTGTACCTGCTACTCCCAAAATTGATACCCAGCCACTTATGGTTTGGATAGTGGACTCTGGTGTGTTTGATGATCCAAGAAACTCCAGCGAGTAGGGAATACTTTCTTCCTCAATGGTGAATAGGCATGGTTGGTATGTTTTTTGAAAGTTTTGCATTAAATGTTCAGCCTATTGCCAGGTTCATTTGAAGTTTCTAATTTGTTATTATAGGCTGTGTTAACATAAAATACCTAACTTGGTTACCTCATTAACCTATTTTCTGTCACACAATGCACTGAACCATAAACTAACCAACAGGGTAGGTTCATACATAATAATTTACAGAACAATTTTATAAACCATCACATTGTGGAAACCCGTTCTATGTGGTAAACTTATGGTTTAATCCTAACCAAGTGTAATCATTTGTCCAATATATTACTCTTGGTTAGGATTAGACCATTCATTTGAATTTGTTAAAAGTAGATATGAACACAGCCATAGTCTCTGCTTTTCCTTGTTCTATTGTTGAGTTATTGGCTTCACTGGGTATTTGAATTTTAGTTGTGATTATTATCTGTTTTATATTAAAACATCTCACTCAAATTTGATTTCAGAGGTACCATCATACTGACCCAAACAAATAAAAATGGCATGCAGAAGATAGAAAGTAGGGTTAGAAAGGAAGAGCGGAAGATTGGCCCAGAAAAGAAGTAGAGCAAGCCACCCATAGACAAATACTTAGGGAGGATGGCACAATTCAAATTGCTGCTGACAATTCCCTGCCATCAAACATCACCTGTCTATGTGTAAAAGAGTGCCCACATATTGTGGAAGGATAGTAAATTTGACCACCACCACTTTATCATATGAACAATTGAAACCAACCTCCTTTCCAGTCAAGGCCTTACCTCCCAATGGATCCATTTGTATTGAGACAGGTCAACTTTTTCAAAATCAGCAGCTGTCACATCTGGCAGATTGCTGCAATTGGGAGAATGGGAAGTGGGAATAGAGGAAGAAAAAAGTTTAATTAATGCAAAAAACTGATTTCTCTTCCATCTTAAATCAGTGAAACAGTAAGCAAATGCATACATCCTTACAATTAAATAAAACAGGAAACAAAACACCTGTTGACTTCTTAAGCTCAGTGCTCTATCTCGTGTAGCATCCTGTTTTCTTAGCACCAAACCAAATCTAGCAAATCCAAAGGGGACATGAACAGTTTCTTATTGCTAGTCCCGAGTTTCCAATGAATAAATATATTTCCTCTGAATATGGTGGTTCAATTTTATACAGAATTGATTTTGCAAGCTGAAAGTTAATTTCACCTCCTACTGGGAGCAATTCCAGTGTACTTTGGAGCTGCTTGCAGCTACACATCCAAAGGCTTTAGGCTGTATAGGCAGCCATCCCACGTAAGAATGTCTCTATAGCTTCATTCCTTTTCCCCAAATTTGACAAAAAGCAAATATGAAGAAATCTCTTGGTAAATGTATCATGTACGATTGGTATGGAATTTATTTACTTTAGAGATGTGTCTAGGCATCTAACTGAACCATAATAAACTGATATGCCAACCTCTTTTTTTGGTTTCCATGATAACAATCTGAACTTGGAGCCATCGCCTGAGATTAAATTGTAATGTACTGAGAATAAAGAAAGCAGACAGTATATACACATAAACTGTGAAATATATTATAGAAAACAATGATGGCCATCAGTCTGTACAGTGTTAAAAATTACAAAATAAACATGAGAAAAAAGACTAATCTCAATTGCTTACTAAGTGCAATAAATGCACATTTAGCCCTAATAGGGCCATTCAGTAATACTGAGATTGGCCTGCCTACCCTTGTTCTGCATCTGTGGACTGTCCTTTCCTTAAGCCAGGGGTGTCAAGCTGCCAGCCCATGGGCCAGACACATTACCAGGAAACCACGCACACCCCATTGCCGGCAATGGGGAAAAAGCTCCGATACGTTGACGTCGCGAGTTTGACTTGTCTGCCTTAAGCTATTATGGCGGAAAAAGGATGCTTGACTAGAACTGAGTTTGATCCTCCATTCTCAATTTGTTCCTTTTATTTCATAGCTCCCTCACTTTGAAAACATTGTCTTAGCACTAAGCCATACTCAGGAGCTTCGTCTGGAGATATTCAGCAAGGAAACGAATGATATTTAATTCTCAGTCCTCATTTTTAGGGATTAACTTTACCTGAAATGGATTCGGTTTTAATGATTAACCCACCAGCCTAGGAGACACAGAGACTGCTTTGATCAAAGGCCACAAGAATCACATTTGGAAAGATGACAAGCTTGGGCATTCTGCATGTCCTCAAATTATTAACCAAGCCTTGACACTCTATTGGTAATGGGAGATGGAAAACTTCACATTTCCCACCCCTTGGGAAAAGATAAGGGGGTCATATAAGCGTTTGTGTATATTATTTATTTGTTCTTTCATTCAGCTTGTCTAGCCACCCATCTCAGCAAGTGACTGAGTAGCAAACCATCTTCAATGTAAAACAATTTAACGCCCATCTTAATGGTAAGATGGGTGGCCAATAAATTTTATAGATAAATTCTCATCACAAATATAAAAATTAAAATACACAGCAGGAAAGTATCACAATTGACAGTTACTAATACAGTCAGGAGACAAGACCCTTCAGACACTTGGCTCTCCAGGCCAGGTGCAGAACCAGGACTTTAGGGCTTTATGAAAAATCAGCAGGGCTTGGGCCCTCCTAATCTCTGGATGGAGAATATAGACACATGCGCAGGCATTGCTTGTAGACACAAAACACACTTAACTTGGTCAGATAAAGACCAGTACATACAAAGATACAAACCTGGTATAGGTTACCCTTGGTTATTTATTTTGTTTTTGTAGTTGTGGAGACCTGGTCTGTACGAATACTGTGTAGTTGATTCCTGTATCCCCTCAGAACAGATTTGTTTAGCACTGCCCAGTCTACATCTCACCTGCTGTTGTCAAAAGCTCAGGTTCTTTCCTGCTGTGAGCTGATGGGAGTCACACTTGAATTTCTCACTCTGTTGAGCCAAAACGCTTCTTGAGGAAGGGGAAGGTCACTAGTTGACACAACCATATTTGGGAAGGATAATCAAGAATTAATATTGGCAATGATGATTGACAGCAATCTGGACTTAATTAGCAATTGACCAAGAATTAATAATAAATCAGATTTTATTAGCTCATGCATGGATGCTTTTATTCCTTTCCCATTGGGTGGCACCTCTGCAGGAATTGGAGAGGCATTTTAAGTCCTATTTTGACCTGCTCAAGCAACTCTTATTTTCCCCAATAAACTAGAACAAGAGCTATATTAATTCCTATGTAGTCCAAGGAATTAAAACTGGATATGCTATTTCTTAACAAAGCTATAGCCATTACGATGTGGTCCTGCTCTCAACATAGAAAGGGGAGACTATTCATTTACTGGATGTTGACTCTCTGATGGGGAGAGGGTAGTTTTAATATTTTTTCTTATTATCTTGCTACTATCTTGGATGATTTTAAAGGAACAAATAGGGTTGTTCTTTTGGGTACCAGGCTGTCCAAGAAATCCCATAAGTGAAACCTAGTCAGGGAAACACATCCTAGATTGAAGAAAGCAATGGGAAGGAACTAGCATACTCTTGCCTCTTTATTTTTCAAAATGTTTATTGTTTCAAAATGATAATAAAAAGTAAGTCAATCAATGTAGATTTCTTGGTTATTCAGGCAGGCTATTTATTAGGTGATACCCATTTCTCTCAGGTTCAGGAACTCAATCTGTAAAATGGAATCAAGCTATCAGGTAAAGAAAAGTTCAGGCAATGGCAGAATGCTTACTGCACGCAAAGCAGTTTCTCCTTACAAATAACAGTCAGACAATAAGAACAAGTGACTGTATTTAGAATTGGCTAGCCTTAACTTCAGTATGATTCTTTAATGGCTTAACATACTGTACAAATCCACTATATTTGGTTAGTTTATAATGCAGTACATTGTGTCAATCCATGGGTTGAAAATGGTTAATTCAGTAATCTGGTTAAGTGATGCTGTCAACGCTGCTAATATTGAATATTCTTGCTTTGACAAAATATGCAGAACTGTCCGGTACTTTTAGAGTTAATTCAGATGAGAATGAAGGGAGGAGAGAAAAGCCCACCAAAAGGGAACGGAAGAGAACCTTTGCCCTTCAAACTAATTGGAGAACGTAAATCATGACAGCAAAATAAGGGAGGGGAAATGCTAGCAAAAATAACTGCTCGGGGAGTGGAGATTTCAGATCTTAGCATCCTTTCATCATGCCGTGCCGACATTTTGTCACATGAATAAAAAGACTTTTTAGGATAAAATGCCTGGAAGTTCTTTGAAGTGTTTCATTAGTCGGAACCTTGACAGATGCATGAATATTGTGTAGGTGTTAAAGCTTTGCTAGGCAAAAAAGTTATTAATATTTGATAACCAGTTTGATCATTATTCCATATGTACTTTGGAAGTACAAAGTGCTATATAATTTATATCCATTTATCTATTAAATAATTATGTCATTAATAATTAATATTAGCAAATAATAGTAATAGATGGGAAGGAAGAAAACATTGTACACACGCACACGCACACACACCAGGCTATCGTCTATTGTTGTAAGCAACAGTACATGGAAATTAGAAAAGAAGTAAGAAATAGTAAGGCAACGCTCTTAAAGACATGAAATTAATAAAATAAAAGGAATTATGACTATAGTTTTCACCATCATCATTCAGAATACCTCTCTAGACCTGGTGAAAATTGACTATTCTCTAAACATTCCATTTATTCTCTTGCATATTTTATTTTCACCTCATTGCATTAGGTAATCAACTTTCAACATCACCTTTGCTCAAAAATTATTTAATGAAATCCTATTCTTTATAGCATACATCAAGAAACATATACTACAATAGGTTTTCTGACACCTACTTCTTTCAATGATCTATTGAAGGGGAAAAATCTGGTTTGCATATCCTTTGTCCAATATAAAGTTGCATTGCACTTCTGAAATTATTTCTCATACTTTTTCTATCAGAATTCTACCAAATGCTTACTAGGCACTCAATATGCTAACACACTTGTAGCTTTTTGCATTGTTCACTCTTGTCACCTTGCCTTTTAGATAGGGTAACAGTAATAGCATAATTCCCATCTTCAGACTCAGTTGTAATCTTCCAATACATTAAATAAATTACAGTACAGTCACTCCATAGGCAAAATAGTTACAATACAGCTACACTGTCTTATTTTCCAATGTTCCCACAGGATTAATGATTAATTTTGAAAGAGTATTTTGGAGTGTTGTGTGGGGTGCTATAAATGTTAGTGTCCATGAACATATTGATGATTATCAATATGTTCATGGACACTAACATTTACAGCACCCCACACAACACTCCAAAATACTCTTTCAAAATTCTCTTAATTACATTTTCATCCCAAATCATTTTATCATTTCCATCTTTAATTTCATAATCATTCAAATTGTCGCAAGGTCCTTGTTTAGCTCTCTTCATCTACTGTACTTACAAAATCATTTTTATTTCCATACAAATTGCTTAGTATCTTCATTTCTTTTTTTCATTGTTAACTGTTCCTTGTTTTCTTTAACTTTATTCTTTGTGATTACCTTTCCCCCTATACACATTAAGCAACATCTTACTCTCATGCTCACTTGTGAGCAGTCTTTGTCTTATATGCATCTTTTTCTCATCAACAGCCTTGTTTGTCATTCTATTAAACATCCTTTTTCATGTTTCTCATTTTATACTTCCCGTTCTCTCTACTGGGCAAGATCTTCAAGCAGACTTTAAACATGATGCTTATAAGCACTTAACAGGAATGCAAGAATTAATAGCAGTCAGCATGAGCTTGTCATAAACAAGATTAACCTTATCTCCTTTTCTCACGGAATCACCCAATTTCTCACAGTTGCTTAATAGATCTGGACTTAGTGTATCTTGATCTCAGCAAGGGATTCCATCAACTCTCACAATATCCTCATTAATAAAATTGTATAATAGGGGCTAGAGATGATAGAACTATTGACCCAGAAATTACACCCCAGTAGTACTCCTAGCCAGCTCCACATCACCTTTGAGAGTAGTATTAAGTGGAATGCCACACAGCTATTTCCTGAGAACTTTGCCATTTTTATTAATGACTTGGATGAAGGGGGAGAAGGAGCAGTTTAGAAGAGAAAGAAAGAAAGAAATGAAAATCTAGACAAGCTTGAACCATGTACTGAAACAAGCCATGCAATTTTATGAGCCTGCTTCTCCACTCTGTATGTAAGCAGCTAAAATAGGAAGCTAGGATGGGCCTATTCAACTATTTAATAGTATAAACATAATCCTAGTGATACTCTTTGTAATCTCTTCTGGAAAAAAAAAAGTTGCTGTCGCAGGCCAATCCTCACCCACCACACAGCAGTCAAGGCCACCTGGCCTCTACTGGGGTGCTGAGAATCCTTTTGTGCCACCCATTGGTAGAGGGGGGAAGGAGGAAGGCAGCAGAGCCAAAGTGGGCCAGGTCTTACGTGTCATAAAGAGTAACTGTCCGAGAACCGTTGCGGCAATTGATGAGGCAGCAGGCACACGGTGTCTCCCCCTGGCTCTGCCAGACCAAGTGGGCAACTTCCACCTTGCGCCGTTGGAAGTCAGACAAGATGAAGCTTGGGGGCAGGGAAGAGGAGAGAGAAAAAAACGTTAGACTTCACTGCGAGGAATGCTCAACTTACGCACCTAGCAGCGTGCAGGATCGTGCGGGTGCCTGTGGCTGAATTGCTGATCACCGTTGAGACGGGCAAGCTGCATGCCAGATGCAAAGCCACATGGGTGAGATCCACCTCATAGCGTTGGAAATCATCACGGACGAAGCTGGGAGGGCAGAAAACATGAGCATCTTCTTGGGGGTGGGGTGAGGTTCTCTGTCTGGTGGAATAGAAGGCAGATGCTCCCAAGCTTCTCTTCAAGACAGCAGAGCTGTTACTGCCGCTTGGCAAAGGTTGTCAGTGTACTAGAAGCTGCGAGGACAGAGGGAGATAACTGTCTGAAGAAAGCAGATAAAAATGAACTCTGCAGGTTGGAAGCTGAGAGCTCTGATGCCCTCAGTGCTTATTACCGTACTTATTAAAAAAATCTCATTACATTTACTCCGGAGCTCTGCTCCCTGAAGCACATGCTGCTCAGGAGTCAACAGACAGAATTTATTCCATAGTAAGCAGAATGGGAATAGAATGGTCCTTGATCTGCCTCAGATTTCCTGAAAGCAGAAGATCATAAATTTAGAGCTTGAGAATATAGACTATCTTCACCAACTTGCTTCACCACTTCACTTCAGGATCTAGCAGATGCATTTACACAACATGCCAAGTTTGCTTCATGGTTGTTTTGATTAGTTACTTTGTGGCTTAATGTGTGGGGTGAACTCCTCTGTGTCATTAGTTTGTTTCAGTGTATTACCATATATGAGCCTAAAAGATTAATTCAGTACCCAGATAAAACATGTTGTGCGAATATGTCCACAAAATCTGACTCCCCAAATCTACCCCAGGTTAATTGCTTTGAACAAAAGCTACTAGAACTGGGCTCCATCATTACCTTTTCATTTGAAAGTCAGCTGTTTCTTAATCCATCAGATGTCAGTAACTAGTAGCAGCCCATCCACACCTGTTAAACTATTCATGTGAAATTGCAGTCTCAATTGCTCCAGTATATATCAAGTGAGTCTCTTGCATTTATTCAAATGGATTTTCTAATTGGGCAAAGAATTAAAACTAGGCTCCATAACTGAAATAAGATGACCACAAATCAACACAATTTTGGCAAATTTTTGAAAGCATATACAAGAATTTATGCTGATCTATGACTGAAATGAAGATTTAATAAAGACTAAAATAAGAACTACGATGAAACAGTGAAAACTCAGGGCTGATGGCTCTATATAGCCGTTCAGTGAGACATTATGGCTTACTTGCCTAACCAAATCAGCTGTGAAAAACAGTGTTTTGGAAAACTAGGAACTGATTTAATATGATTATTAATAGAGAAAACTGAAAAAGTATTGTCTTAATAGCACATTCTAAATTTCTCAACAGTTTTACAATAGCTAAAATAATTAATTAAAATGAGCAAACTAGGCCATATTCCAAGGCATACTTGGCAATAAATATGCTTTGTAATTGCCCTGTTAATATGTTACATATGAAGACATTTTGAATAGCAATACTGTTGGGATAAGATTATTTTATTATTTTTATTCATTTTGTCTGCTGCCCATTCACCTCAGGGCAGCTTACAATATTATTTTTTTTAAAACTCCATTTTATGACCCTGTAATCCCTCAATTCAGGGTAGAGTCAGGGTGACTGGATGGAGCTGAACATTTACTGGCCGGATGCCCTTCCTGATGCCATGAGCAGATATTTTTCTTTGTGCCTTAGGAGAGAAACATTTGCTGTTACCTAGTATTGAACTCTCAATCTTCCGTGTGGGAGGCAAGCATCTTCACCATTAGGCCACCACCCTGCTCAGTGGCTTACTACATTAATGACAGCTTGCAAGATTAAAAGCTATAAAACCATAAAATATAAATATTTCCAAAATCAATAAAAATAGAATTATAATCAAAAGTAAGATTATAGTTTTCATGTGTTTCCTACCTAAAAAGAGTTTAAAAAATGTGCAATTAATTTCAGAATCAGAATAACAGAGTTAGAAAGGACCTTGTAGATCAGGGGTGTCAAACTCGCAGTGTCACATGACATGTCGCGATGTATCACAACTTTTTTTCCCTTGCTGGAGATGGGGTGGGTGATGCATCCGGCTCATGGGCCGGCAGTTTGACACCCCTGTTGTAGGTCATCTAGTCCAACCACCCACCCAAGCAGGAGACCCTACACCAACTTCAGTAATCATGGTTGGAGTCAAGTATGAGGGCCACAAAAATGAAAACAGGGACTACATGAAAATTTGCGACTGCAAGTTCCACATCTCTCAAACACCTGGATGGAAAGTTTAGTGTAACTTAAACTATAAGGTCAGGTGACAATAAAATTAATAGTCTGTGGCTATTTATTTGCATAAACACACACACACACACACTTATAGACATACATAATGACCATTTCTTAGTAATAGGTGCCAGTGATAAGATAATCACAATGGCTTTGCTTAGTTAATTAACTGTTATCTTTGTTCTTCCAACAGTTTCTGTTGCACCTCAAGTTTTAATTAACCTAGCAATGCTAGAATAATTCTGTGCAATTGCCAATTACTGACAATCTGAATGGTCATTGTCTTTGTAGCACAAGTAATTTAAGCTTTAATTAAGTTATCAGACCATATGTTTTGGCTTTCATTAATTGTTTACTCCCTGCTTCTATTTTTTTCTATCTATACCTCACAAAGATTGGTTACTTGAAAATAATAATTCATACATGAAGTAGAATATAGTTCATAGAAACTTCTATTATACTGCGTCTCTTTGCATATTTAGGCATGCATATTTAGGAATAAGAGCCAATTGCTCTTTCTTTAAGTAGGCATGTAGGATTACTCTATTATTAACTTTAAGAATTTCATAAGACTTATTCATTGGACATAACATAATATGATTAGTCTTTAAAGTGTCACAAGATTCCTTGTTGAAATCAATTATTTTAAGGGAAGGATTCTTTTGTAAAAAATAGAACAATATTAATGAAAACAAGTTGTTTTAGAAGCAGAGGCAGAAACATGCCTGGCATCTGTGTTTGAATCTCATGTCAAGTCTGATCTGTTGATCATCTGATTATCACTAGCACGTGATAGACTTTCATTCCAAGGACATGGCTTGGAACAACCCACCTTGGAAGAGAAACAAAGTTAAACGAGAGAACAAAGACAGATAAAGACAAAAATCAGGGAGATTTTTGGTTAGAGCCAGAAGAAAACTAGTCCACCATGACACTGAAATGAATCCCCTGCAGCCTGATTTGAACCTTGTTTGAAATCATTGAATTAACCTATATTCAGGGTTGTACCAGCAATACACTGAACTAGAAGCTAAATGGACTGGGTTCACACAAATTGCTGAGCCATACAAAACAAGTTTTTAAAGTAATTAACATATTAAATGAACTCTGACATTGTATGAACTTTATGATCACTTCATAACAGAGTACACATACCAGCGTCTCCTTTCTTACTTGTCACAGCCAAATAATAGCCCAGGTTGGATTTGCACAACGTGTATAGTTTGTTTACTGAATTAATACAATTCTTTAAACTGTAAATGACTAGGCTTATCAAAAAAACATTAAGCCACAAAGTTGTGAAAATTAGAGTTCTCTCCTATGAGGCAAATCCAGTATAACTTCTCAATTCCAGGCAAGGAACCACATCGGTGAACAAAGAAAAAAATATCTGCAAAACACTTTTGTACAACATTTGAAACATTTGTAGACTGTTGGGCCAGTCACTTTGTCTCAACCCTAGGAAGGAGGTAATGGTAAACCACTTCTGAAAAACCTTGCCAAGAAAACTGGAGGGACTTCTGGAGGCAGACCCTGGACATGATTGAATGGGAGGTGGGGAGTGTAGTAAGATGGGACACAAGTGCATAAAATAAATATGTTTTTCATGAAGTGGAAACACACACTTCTGCCCTTCCCCTTCTGCTTTTAATATGTGTGTGTGTGTGTGTGTGTGTGTGTGTGTGTGTAGCCGGTAGCCACAATCCCCTTCTGTATTCAGCTGGCACTTACTTTGCAGCATGACCAGGAGCTAACGAACCCATAAAAGCACAAGGGGCGCCCAGCAGGGCCAAAACGGTACAGGTGTTGGAGGCGTTCCCTCCACGTTGCCAGCGCTGCGACAAACATCTGGAAAGAAACAGCCAACAGCAGCCTCAGCGTCCCATTCTGACAGGCTCTTTAGGCAGCCTAGTATCTGGGACTCCGGCAAGGGACCGAATTGAGGAGCAGCACTTCAGGGCTTGGCATTTATTTCACTTTCTTCCAAGGGGTTCTCAGATCATGAAACAGACAGAAAAGCTGCTTCGGGACGCCAAGGCAACACCTCCACCCTCCCTCCCTCCCTCCCCACCCCCGGAACCTCTTCCGCGAGCTACAAGTGCTCTGAGCCCCGGCCAGGGGAACTGAGCCCCGAAATCTCCCCCAAGTATGAGCTGGTTCCTGCTTATCGGGGTTTCGGAACTGGACAGAGCAGAGAGCTCTCCTCCCGCGACACGGACCAAAACGGGTTAGTGCGAGCGGAGAAAAAAACCCACCCACTCCTCTCCTCCGCAGTCTGCACCCAGCCGTGCCACATTGCTAGGCCTTTGCTTGGGGGGGGGGGGGAAGCAGCAGCGGTACCTAGTGTCCGAATCCTCCTCCGGATAATTGTCCACCACGCTGATTATGTCCAAGCACACAAGTCCGATGCACAAAATGCGTTTCTCCTCCATCGGTCGAAGTGGGCGTCTTCTTCGGCTCCTGTCACTACCGTCCGCTGGTCCCAGCCGGGGCTCAGCGTTCTTTTCTCTTGTGCTGATCTCACCCCGAGATCAGCGGATGCCTCCGCTCGCCCCNCCTCCGGATAATTGTCCACCACGCTGATTATGTCCAAGCACACAAGTCCGATGCACAAAATGCGTTTCTCCTCCATCGGTCGAAGTGGGCGTCTTCTTCGGCTCCTGTCACTACCGTCCGCTGGTCCCAGCCGGGGCTCAGCGTTCTTTTCTCTTGTGCTGATCTCACCCCGAGATCAGCGGATGCCTCCGCTCGCCCCAGGCAGTCGCACAGCCATTGGCAGAAGCGCATGACGGTCGGTTCCGATTGGCTCCCTCCACGGTATGCAAATCAATCCTACCCTTTGGTTCAAAGTGTTCTTTCCCTCTTTTTTATAGGACTTCTCCTCCCCCCCCCCTCCTGCCCAGGAAGTACGGCTGCCAGTCTAGCTGGTGCCCCATCCAATGCCACCCACTCTTTTCGTCTTTGGAGCTCAACAGTCGCTGAACTCCCGGCAGAGGAAGTAAGGCCGGCCTGAATCGTACCTGCCAACAAGACGTATCTAGAACTGCTGTTCGGGGGAAAAAAACGTGGGCAGTCCCGTTGCAAATGAAAAGGTTGCTTTCATATGACGTACTATCGAATTAACATGCTTTTGAAATAGTACAATACAATAATCATAAAGTATCTGGTTTTACCCAATAGGCTGAGTTGCAGAAAACCAAACCAAGGGTGGCATGAGGTGAGAATGCACCCACTAACTGACTGCAATTGGGGATTGTATAAACAGATGTTCTGTGCATGGCTTGCCGGTTGACTACTTTGTGAAAGTTTTGACCCTGGTCACAGATATAAAGCAAGAGTTGGAAAGAAGGAATACACATCCAGTCAACCAATGTCAGGGTCCTGGATCTGGTCCAATTTCAGTGGTTTAAAAAGACCTCCCTCATTTCAGAGGTTTCTGTGCCATTTAGAGCCTGATCTAAATTACAGAAATTGCAGAAAAGTGGGATGGCACGTCTCCACAACTGACACTCCAGCAAGAAGCCTTTTATTTTGGTGTTATAATAATAATAATAATAATAATAATAATAATAATAATAATAATAATAATAATAATAATAATAATAATAATAATAATAATAATAATAATAATAAAGTTGGAAGGGACCTTGGAGGTCATCTAGTCCAACCTCCTGCTCAGGCAGGAAACCCTATACCATTTCAGACAAATGGCTGTCCAGTTTCTTCTTAAAAACTTCNAGCCTGACTCCCTCTTCTTTGTGGCAGCCCCTAAGATATTGGAACACTGCTATCATGTCCCCCCTCGTCCTTCTCTTTGTTAAACTAGACATACCCAATTCCAGCAACCGTTCCTTATATGTTTTAGCCTCCAGTCCCCTAATCATCTTTGTTGCTCTTCTCTGTACTCTTTCTAGAGTCTCAACATCTTTTTTACATCATGGTGATTGTTTCCCCACATGTAAATCCAAATGTAAATACTTTCCAGGGATCAATATCTTTGAGAGATTTGGATCATAATGGACATCCTCCTCTGTTCCTTCTACCACCTTTGTTGGTCTCAGCCAGGGTTCAGTGTTCGCTCCTGTCCTGCTGATCTCATCCCAGAAAGAGCAACTGAAAGTTAATGTAACCATCACAATCTTTATTTAATACTTGCAGGAGTAAACATGCAGTGCTCCCGGGACGGACACCAGGTATGTATGCAATGTTCTGGCATGGCATGTCTGCGCAGGGGGTGAATTTGACCTGAGCATTCTTTAATCAAAGGTGCAAAACAGACTGTCCATTAAACATCTATGGGAAACTAACTTATCAGTTTGTGAAATACCTTCCCTGTGAACTCCTCTCTGCACCTGGCATTTATTTCCATGTACTGTATATTCCCGGGCCACAGTATGCATCTACTATTTTTTTTTAATAATAAAAGCCTATGCAGGGGTTAAATATGGCACTACTTTGGTCCAGGTATACTGGTGCAGGGTAAATGTGTAGACTTGAACAAATTAATACAACAAATAGATTATTTCAGTTCCTTTTTGCTGCAGCGGACAAAAACATTTGTTCCCCTATAAACAATGACAGCTGAATATGTGCCTTTTGGAAGCCTCTCAGGCTGTTTTCTCCCCATATGCTTGTTTAGGAAAGGAAGGAGAGGCATCCAACTCAAGGTGATTTAGGATTCTTAGCTTTGATGATTAACAGCTGCAGATGTGCCTCTCTCTGTTACATGCTCTGGAAAGTAGAAAGAAGCAGCCCTGGAGCCCTCAGGAAAATTGGAGAAAGGGCAGCACTTCTCCAGAAGATCTTGCAGGTTTCCTTGTGAGTTATCTGTTCACCAAGTACTATCAATGTTTTGTTTGATTAGTTGCACCAATAAACAAACTGAAGCTAGCTTTATTTTTTTTAAAAATGATCTATTGGCAGTTGTTTTCTAAGGTTAGAGATATAAACCATTCCTTCACTGTGATTTATAGTGTTTTCACATATATTGCAATGATATAAGCCTTGTCTTTATTTTCTTTTCTTTTTTGGCATAATTATGGTTGGGAGACTCTAGTCTAGGAGATGCTATAAATTGCTAGTGGGAAAATGAATAGAAAGATCCCTTTTCTGACAAAAATTCAGTGGGCTGAGAAAAGGTCTCCTTCCTTTCTGCAGGTAAAATATATGTCTCTCCACTCAGTTTGATCCCTACTTCCATCATCTACTTCCATACATTGTGCTCTTGCTAATAAGGCAGCTACACAAGAGACCTCTCTGGGAGGCTGTAATGTTCAACACTATTTCCAAACAACTATTTTTATTTGCAGTCAACTGAAATTTCTGTACCAGAAATTTCCTTGTCAATCTCAGCAAGTAGAGGAGCCTGAATTTGGTCCTGAATTAGTTGTCTGACAGTGTACGTTAGCAAGTAAAGTATTCTCAGTAGGCTACAGAGTAATACCTCTGGCACAATTTCCAGTTTCTTTAGAGGCATAAAAGTGCATTATAAATGTTCAAGCAAGAAATTCAGTTTGAGAGAAGAGGCATAGATTTCTTTTTAGTACAAGGATACTGTATCTAACAGTCAAGAAGGGTTAGCACTTAGACTTATATACTGCTTCATACAGTAATGCTTTACAGCCCTCTCTAAGCTGTTTACAGAGTCAGCCTATTGCCCCCAACAATCAGGGCCCTCTTTTACCGACCTCAGAAAGATGGAAGGCTGAGTCAACCTTGAGCTAGACAGGATCAAACTCCTGGCAGTGAGCAGAGTTAGCCTGCAATGCTGCATTCTAACCACTGCACAATGCATCTAAATCAGATGCTTTGGTAGCTATTGATTTTATAGTTATTTTTACATCCTGAATCATAGATGTCAGGACTACCAAGTACTTCAGTTTTAAAATAAAAAAAAATATTGAAGCATGCAAGGTTGTAAGAATAATACCTATCCATCTTTTCCCCAGGGGCACAAGTACCATTTACAAGCTACATCAAGTTACTAAGGTTCACTAGAAATCTGGAAGGATTCCATAGCATTGAGACTCGATGGGTTGCACTTATTAATGATGATAAGGAAACTGGGAGCTGAGATGTGGTTGGTCCTATCACCCTGACCTTCCTAGATCTCGGCAGTTTTTGATATCATCAATGACAGTATCCTTATGGGCCCATTGTAGGAACTGGGAAGGGAGACATGATTTTCAGGTAGTCCTCCATGGTCAGTTTTAGTTTTAATCATATTGATAGGAGGATAGAAATTGAGCCCAGACCCACTGATTTACAGCATGTCTCAAGGCTCAACTTTTTCCCCCTCCTGTGTAACACCAACATGAGGGTGATGGGGGAGGTCTTCCATTCATTTGGAGTCAGGTATCATCAGAATGCTGATGATATCTGTTGCATATCTTGTCCCTGAGCAACTAGGTCAGTGATGGCGAACCTTTTAGAGACCGAGTGCCCAAACTGCAACCCAAAACCCATTTATGTATTGTCGGGTGCCAGATGGGTGTGGCCCATTGGGTGGGCGTGGCGGCGGCGGTAATGCCAGACTGGGTGGGACTAAAAATTTCAATCAATCAATTCCAACTTTGTGAGATCTTTTTTTCCCCGCAAGAAGTTGAAATTGATTGATTGAACCTTTTTTTTTTTTTGCACACGGTGGCGGAGGCCTAAAGTGAAAAGGTTTTATAAAACCCAGCTGAAGGCCTAGGACTGGGGTGATGGCATGCGTGCCCACAGAGAGGGCTCTGCGTGCCACCTGTGGCACACGTGCCATAGGTTCGCCACCACGGAACTAGGTGATTCTGTCCGTTAGGTATAAGCCCTTTGGAACAGTATTCTCCCCAAAGATCCATATAACGCCCACCTTGCCTCCCTTCAAATGATCTTTAAAAAAAAATTTTTTCCTCAAGCATTGAATTAAGATGTTTCAGGCTGGTTCGTTTTAATTGAGTAGGTGTTGATGCGGAAATATGTTGATCCTCAGACTATTACTGCTTTTTATATCACGTTTTTTCTTTTAACTTTGTGAAGCTCAGTAGTTATTTTGGAATTAGGTGACCTAGAAATTTAACCAATAAACAAACAAAAAAGCTATCCCAATTTCTTTTTTCTATGTCTGGTTCCATTGTCTTCCTTGAAGCTTTGTTGCCAGAGAGTTCTACTGAACCAAGATAAGTTGTTGTCTGTTAAGAGGACACTGACAAGCATTGACCTGAGAGAATTCTGATTACAAAATTAACCAGGTCAGGACAGGAAAATTAGGCCACTTATTGAACAAATCTTATAGAGCATTTTGGAGTCTGTTATGACATATTTCTTAGTTTATACAATCATACTAAAACACAGTTTATAAACCATAATGAGATGGCTCATAAATTAAGTTAATTAAAAACTAAACAGACTACATCGAGACTTATTGCAGGAATAGGCAACCTTTCTTCAGCTATAAGTCACATTTTGCGTTTTAATAGGGTCAGTCTTTGGGAATTACAGATGTTACCAATACAATGAACTGTTG